TTTGTAAAATGCTTGTGTAATTAGTGGTTCACTATAGTAGTCGGAGGGCGGATTCGAACCGACGACCTTTTGAGTTTGCGGTCCGCACCCTGTCATTAGGGTACTATTGCTTAATCTTGTTAAGTTTCTGGGCACAGTTCTCGTCTTATTTCGTAAGCCGTAGTGAGAGTAGGAATGCCAGATCGGAAGACCAAAATATCTCGACTTTGAAAATAACGGGATTTTGGGGTTGTTGTCTGAGAAAAAAATATTATAAACAAAAATGTTAAATAAAAAGGTTTTTTTTTAATGAATAGGCTTCAAAAGGACTTTACATTGTTGACACATAAATAATTTAAGTACACTCAATTTTTAGGTTGCCACATGTACTTTACTGAGTCCAACAATTTTAATCCTTTAGTATTAACGAACAATTTAAAATTAAAAAAAATTACTTCACAGTTCATTGTTATTACTACTAACTTAGCATTTAATAAATCAAAAGCAGATGTGATGTGTAGATAAACTGTTCGTCTGAAGATTTTGATATTCGTCGGGAGTCTAGATCATTTAAAATGTCAGAAGAATCCAGACGAATCCCGACCTGGCAACTCTTCTACTCTCCTGGCAACCCTAAGTTAGAGGCTATGATCTCGCCGTAAATTTCAAAATACGAGTCTTTAGAATTTTATATATGTTAGCTAATTGTGATTGATGATTGAGATCTGATTTACCACGTGCTCGGCGGTGAAGGAAACCATCGTATGTAAACCTGCATGTCTGAGGAATAAAAATAATTCGAAAACATGTGGAACTTCGCCAACAAGCACCGGGGCATTACGTCGTACTAATGCCCCGGTGCGTGTTGGCGAAGTTACCCTCTCAGAAATCAGAGGAGACCTGTGGCAAACAATATGCTGTAACTTTTGTACGTGGTAGAGCCACGCTGAAACTACAGTATGATTGTACCACGAAAGGGTCGGCTCAACTGAGGAGGGACCAAGCTCGCACAGAATACCAGTGTGAAATAGCAGCTTAATGTTGCTGCGATGTGTAAGATGAGTGTAGAGGACCAGAGAACCTTTTACTGGAAGGCATTCCATCCTAATCCTCAGGGTTGGCAACGTATCTAAATTTTGGTTCTTAATCTATGATAGAAGTGTCTACAGGCCACAGCGTCATACAACATCGACATATCTTGCTGCGGACTGTATGATCGTTTATTAGCTTTGCATAAAAAAATGTCGCCCCATTTATTTGTGAACTAAAACTATAGTAACTATTGCCTAATTCTAGGCGTGGTAATGCTCGAACCGCACGGCTGATACGGCAGTTGAGTGGTAGAAATCGTTAACCCATATCGATACCTATAATCGAGTACATTTTAACACGCTTTCATTAGCTTTGCGTGTATCTATCTATGTAACGGAATCTTTTAATATAATTTTTACAAACTTGTAGACGGCCGATTACTTTGAAAATTTGCGCTCAAGGACCGATGATAATATAGTAATTAATGTCCATGACCCAGTATTCGCACTTGTTCAAGTTCTCTTAAATGATAATATTATTAAAATTTATTTGCGGTCGTAAGCGACATTTGTTTATTTATTGAAAACTATTGGTCTAACCCTGAAAGTTGCAAAGGGCGGACTTAATTTCAGTTAGCATACTCTGCCAGTCATCCGTCATGGCGTGGTGAAAAATTTGTGATGGGTGCCTTAAATAACTAAATGTAATAAACATTTTGTTTTTATAAGATAAGAGTGACAAACGAGCACACAGTCCACCTGATGGTAAGTGGTTGCTGTGACCCATAGACATCTACATCTGTCCTCGATTACGAATCAAAATGCGAATGTGTTGTCATCTCTGAGGACTAAGATGGAATGCAACACAGCAGTATTAAGCTGCTATTTTACGCTGGTATTCTGTGAGAGCGTGGTCCTGCCCCGGTCGAGCCGACCCATTCGTACTACAACCATAATATAGCTGCAGCGTGGCGCTACCACGTATAAACTTACTTTAAATTTCCACTGTTGGACACAAAACTCTGTCGTTTTAAGGAAGATTTACTTGAATCACCAAGTTTGGCAGAGAGCAACCCGGGTTCGATCTCCGCCGGCACCGATGAAATTGTTAATTCTAATTTTAAGTCCTGATTTAATAAGTGCTTGGTGGTAAAGGAAAACATCGTAAAGAAAACCTGCATGTCTGAAAAATAAGAAAATTTTTTTTTCGAAGACATATAAAGTTCGCCAACACGCATTAGGGCAGCGCGGCAGACATTTCATTACCCTAAATCCCTTTCGAGAAAGAGAGGAGGCCTGTAGTGGGACCTAGTAGTGGGTCATATATAGCCTGTAGCTTTAACCAAGTTTGGCAGCTGGATTAGCCACTGGTGCAGACGTCTCGCACCTTTTACGCTGCTCTCAGTCTCTGGTCTGGTTGTTTTACGTCTGGCATAAACAATATGCTTATAATGCTTGTGATATCTATGGAAGTAATAAAATCTATTTCGCATATTTTTAATAGTAGAGGGGCAAAGACCATGCGGCTCACCCGATGGTAAATGTCGACCGACGACCATGAACAACGGCAACACCAGGGGAATTGCAAGTGCGTTGCTGGCTGACTTTGGTCTCCAGCCTTACACGGGGTTGGTTCTGAAGGTTGAAATTACCAGAACGAAAACATTGAAACCAAAAACGTACCGTGCTTTCTTTTGCGACACTAGCGCCATACACATCATTAATCCTTTGAGCTGTTTCTGCAGCACTGGTGCCACGGTAGAACTCGTACTTGTAAATATACCGATATTTCATATTTACCATTGTGCGGTATTAAGCGATGCCAAAGAAAGAAATAATAGGGAAAAACAAACGAATTACTGTTTTCAAAACTCAAATGTACCAGCTAAATGAGTTTATAAATTTGAATTTGGAATTCTTAACCAAAGAGGAGATATTTCAGATTAATAAAGAAAAAAATTAAGAAAAAAATTAAAAAGGAGAAAGATACCTCTTGAATCGTGTAGTGTCGGTGTAAGAATACCCACTAACCTATATCATCCCGTGGGTGTCGTAAGATACAAACAAACAGTAACTCTGGGTCCGTTTCGCAAAAAAAAAGTGCTAGCAAGCGCTTACAAGCGCTGAAATAGTTTTCGTCCAGGACACGATTGCTACTTCAGTAGCGCTGACACAATCCGCCATTTTGCTTAAATTTGTTTGTTTTGAAGTAGAGTTTATAAGTTGTTTTGTACAATATTAGTTTTAAGTAATATAATTACATGAATAAACATAAACATGTTATTAAAAATTCATGATTGGTGAGTTTTTAATATGAATAGTTTACAAACATATATCTATTTAAATTAGGTTAGGTTCCCCGGTTAAAACTAACATCGTGTCCTGGAGGAAAATAGCTATTTACGATTTGACAGCGCTTACCGCTTACGATCGCCATTTTGCTTACAAGCGCTTGCTAGCGCTTTTTTCTGCCAAACGCACCCTTTAAGATACAGCTTAACAATAAATACAATTCTACAATCTGTGTCTGAACTAGATTACTTAATACCTGTTTTTAGACAGCAGCGCTCTTCCCTTTAAGATTTTACATTTCACTGTATACAAAAAGATCACAAATCACTAACTTATAGTTGTAGAGTGTAGGTTAGCCTCCTTGTGTGTATAGAGTGGTAGTGTGTGTATGTGTGCAGGAGGTTGAGAATAATACTTATCTAGGTACATTAAGTAATTGTTCAGTTTCGTTATAGTTCAATTTATGAATATATTCAAATAGTTTCCTTTTGCACTCTCTAATATTTAAGCTTCGTATGTCCATAATTTTGCTGATTTTAGAATATAGATATGGACCCAAAAGGGAAAATATTTGTGTGCGAATTGGTGTTTAAATGTTGGTCTACTGGGGAAACTTATCGCTCTGCGGCGCTTGAGAATGGCGAATGTATTACAGCTTGAGTGTTGTTTTCATAATAGTGAGCAGGATGAACCGTCGGCGAACTGTTCGATGCGACAGAAGGAAACAGATCAGGATATGGGTAGCGACGTCTTCCTGATTACGACTAAAAATAAAAAACTGCGGTTGCCAAGCGTGGCTGCTATGGCAAATATCCCCTATGTCCCTAACCCCCCCTATGAGGCAATCTAATGAGGGGTATGTTAAGCAGGTGACTTTAATAAGATGTAACTATAACTTTAAGATTGATACGTACGGGACGAAAGCTTCTAACCGTAGACATAGGTATAGTAGCCTCGTAAATATAGGGCGGTTGTATATTATTCATAATCAGGTTTTACAAGTAATTGATGCATCAACATTAGATCTGGCGTAATTCATGCAAATTTTATCACTCAACCGGTTATACGATACCTAGTTAACAAATGTGTGTTTACCTGCTCGATTGCCCACTTGTCTGTATTCGTACTGATCGGCATGAGCTGAGAGAATAATTTTCGATTTTAAACACTATTAACGTTGGTTTAAAATTTAAAGTCGTAAAATCTTTGAAATAAATTTGCAGTATAATACTAGCAATAGCAAAGACATTACTTAAACTGCGTTGAAGTGATGTTTACTTAACTTTTAAGGTATGTTGTTTAAGATATTTAAAATTTACGCAAGGCTTACGTACTGTGTAATTTTACTTCTAATTCGACTCAAGCCGAACAATATTGATAAAATTAAGAAGTAAATCTGCACTTCTATTTGTTATGAATATCTTATGAAGCAATATTTAACTAAATATTTTTATATTTACACAAATACTTGACATTAAATAATACTAATTTTACGTATTTTCTCGAATTTATTTTTAATTCCCGACGTTTCGGTTGCTTTGCACCGCCCATTTTCACGGAGGGGGGCTGAGGTGTTTGACGTCCTGATGTTATAGTTAGCCCAGCCATCTTCAGTGTAATAATTTAAATTAAACGCGATAAAATACCTAAAATTGGTTTTATTCGATATTAAACTGGCCTATTTGTATAGTTTTCAAAATGACACTGCTCTTAGTATATCCTATTGGTACCTCTTATATATCTTATACATCAAGTAAGAAATGTGTTTCGATGAGAGTGAAAAAATACGTCATAAAAGCCACAACTAAAAGGGGTCATTGTGGTACTTAGATACCTATATCCAACCAAACATAATGAACAGGATGTTAAAATAGTTTTCACCCCTAAAACTAAACACTTCATTGGTAGTTACCAGACTTCCTTGGTCAAATTATGTAATGCAACAATATTCTACGCTAGCATTCTGCGATGAAATTGTGAAATTACTTAATCAAAAATTTTACTATAAATATTACCCTTAGTTGTCAATTATTAATATTAATTTCTTTTGTTTCAGATGAACAGATTGGGACCCAAGCGCGTACCTTGATGCACCCTGAACAAAATATTTCCTTACTTTCCTCTGGTGATACCAACCCAAACCTTAACCACGCGAAACATTTTTCAAACATTAATTTAAATCCGCTGGATAGTAAGATTAATGCTGATAATAATGTAATCCTGGAACCACGAAATCCGACAATGTCCAAACCTTCCGTGAAAACTGAAGATGATTTTGACGTTAACGAATATTTTGCTAGGCTGCAGGGCACGAGATACGTAAGTGCACCTCTAAATATCGCTATTAAAGAGGAACAGAAAACAAATTTGGGAACAGAAGAAGAGAATTTAGAAGAAATAAATCTAAATGAACCAGATAAAACAGTCGTTGATGATTTTCAACAAAGTATAACAGCTGATATCGCTCAGAATTTCTCACAACTTCCCACCGTTCTGCCGCAAGTTGCGAGCGCTGTATTCAGCTCATTCTCTAACATGCTAAGCATAAAAAGTTGGGAGCAAACCCCTGAGTTTGGGAAACCACAACCTGACTACCAGGATGCGGTTAAGCAGTTGGAGGATATAGGAGTGCCTTTGATGAGTGTTCCTAATCTTGACAAAGAAATGGCACCACCGCCAAAGGAGCCCCCTATAATTGGTAAGTAATTTTTGGTTTATTTGCGAAGAAGGTGAAGTTACTGCATTATTAATAAATAAATGAAATGAAATAATGAATAAGATAATCTAAGTTTTTTTTTGTAACGTGGCGTTATTAATAAATACTTTTGATAATACTTAACATATTAACAACCGACCGGTTTTGCCTCACAGCATCATCATATAAGAGTGTTTTTACAATAGCATTACCCTATTTGGAGTTCAAATCTATCACCCGAAGCTTTGCATTCAGATGCTATGCCCGCACACAGGCCGTACACAGGCGCCATAACGTCTGCCACTCAATAACGTTCCCACGGTCTTGCGATGCCTCCGCGACCTCTAAAACCTCGCGTAATAGAGCCTTTATGGTACTTTAGAATTTAAGTTGTGACTCATAATCATCGTGTGTTTCTTAAGATTCTACAAGTAAGCCATGACCTTACAAAGCTCCGGTAAGCGGTAGAAACGAGTGGGTCATAGTCAACTTATTCGACTGATTATTTATTTATATATTTAAGGGCAACCAAAAAATCATACACTTTACATTAACAATCACTTAAGAGAACATTTCATAGTGTTGCCCTAATTAAAGGCCGTTAGAATGAAAGTATTTTTTCGAAACGAACCTAAAATTAAAATAAATTATAAAGCAGAATTTAAAAACAAAACTAAGGTATATGAGGGTAACATGGTCACCTTAAGCTTTGCCGTCCTATAAAACCAAAACTAGGAGGAGGATAGATACAAAAACACAAAGTCGTATACTATAACTAATGTATCAATAAAAAATAGCAAACAAGCTCTGGCAATAAATAAGAACATCCGAAAAATCAACCTAATAAAAACTAACTATGTTACGCCATACTAAGATCGACTAAAATATTTACTATAATATCAACTGTTAAAATTGCTTCGATAAAGCAGCGCCATTTTGACCCCTTATTATTTGATTGACCGATGAAGAGCTATCGTATCACAGAGCCATCTATGCAAACAAGGCTGTAGTTTTTGAGTTATAAGAAAGTGACCATATGAACCGGATGACCATATTACCCTCACGTACTATATTGGGATTTTTTTTTAATATTAATTTTATTATATTTTTTATATTTTTAAAAATATTTAATTTAAAAAAAAATGTGTCACATTTTTATTTGCACGCCTGGATTAGGCAGAATGTAATTGACTGATATGTTTTTATAATAGTATTGTAACACGTACGAATGCAAATAAATAATAAATAATTATTTGAAAAATTGTTGCTTATAGTATTTGTTATATACAAACAGTTTAGACGGATTTTATTTAAATTTACGCCTTATTCGTGATAGAGCTACGCTGCAGCCATATTATGCATACACGAATAGGTCGGCTCAACCGGGTAAGGACCACGCTCTCACAGAATACCAGCGTAAAATAGCAGCTTAATACTGCTGTGTTTCACATGGGTAGTGTAGAGATCCGGAGACCATTTCTCACTAGAAACGAGGCATTTTATTTTAGCCCTCAGGAGTAACAACGCATCTGCGTTTTAATTTTTAACCGAGGATAGGTGTAGATGTTTATGGGCCACAGCATCCAATTTCTTTAAGATGGACCGTGTGCTCGTTTGTCACCCTTATTTTATAAAAAAAATATTACGTAGTGAATACGACATATCAATATTATAGCGCTGGGCTAAATTGTGACTAAATCCTGTTAATAACGGAAAAATGTCGCCAAAATCCTGTTAATAACGGTAAACTTTGTCCTAAACCTATTTGCCTTAAACGGGCAAATTCCTGGACATCACTGCATTTTTGTAAGCGTCACGTTAAAAATAGATAACGAATATTTTTTTCATATAACTAGAAATCCGCCCCGGTTTTGCACGGATGATTACAGGAAGATAAAAGCGCCACATACCGGGTCCAACATTGAATATTAATCATTCAGGGACCTACACAATTACATACAATTTATTTTTTGCAATTGATCGAGCTGTGTAGGAAAAGTTTAGTAACAAACACACGTACAGAAGAATTTTATGTATAATAATAATAAATAATAATAATGTCCTCCAGACCGAATTTCGGTCACGGCGGCCTGCCTCAACAGAGGCTAGCCATCGGCGCAGAACAGGATTATAGTGCACGAGTGTATGCGCAAGCACAGGTGCACTCTCCATTGCCTCACTTTCATAATCTTTTATAAAAGAATTTCTTGACAGAAAAACTCAATAATTGATTTTTTGGCCCGACCTGGGATTCGAACCCAGGACCTCATGATCAGCAGTCGCACTACTACAACCACTAGACCAACGAAGCAGTCAGTCAGCATTTTATATATAGATAAATAATGACCATAATCACTATCCCACTTAATAATAAGTGGTGTAGCCATAGATATAATTTTATATTTCTATGGGTGGTGCAGTCGAACATGGTAATAAACGGATGGAAAGATTGATTCAGGCAAATTATTCTACTCCTTTACTGTACGCATTATGAACTACTAAGCAAGCCGTTTAGTTCGAACGCGTGGTATGTCGACAACGAAGGGCTGGAGACCAGATCATCATCAGACAATCAGCAGACCGTCTGATGGTCTGATGATGAAATGAAAAGAGAAGTAGTCATGGAAGTAGTGCGCACACTCCCTGTAATGTATCTAATACATAAACCATACTTTGTATTACTGGTACAGGCCACCCCTCAACCTGGTAAATAAAATTAATTAAAAAAGATTAACTTTTACCTTTAAATAAAAAGTAAAATCCAATTTTAAAGAATTCAAGAGAATAAAGATGGAGTACTAAATAATAATAATAAATAAAGGTTGAAGAGGTCAGTGAAAATAAAAGTACGTATTCTCGTCGTATCTCAATTTATTTTTATAAAATAAGGGTGGCAAACGTGCACAGAGACCACCTTATGATAAGGATGCTGTGATACATAGAAATATACATCTATCCTCGATTAAGAATCGAAATGCAGATGCGTTACCACCGCTAAGGAATAAAATGGAATGCCTCGTGTACAGTAAAAATGGTCTGCCGTTCTCTACACCCACAGTACGAAACACAGCAGCATTAATCTGCGAAATTTTTCGTTTAAAAATAACCTAATACTTAGACACGTATACTGAGACATACGCTACTGTGTTAAATACACTATCGTTAAATATTATATCACGCTACACACCGAGGTCTTCCAACGCCTTGTTTGCCTCCATTTCGCACACACTATGTACATAAATATAAACATAAAATATCCCCTATAAAGACACCGATATAGAGTAACCGACATAGCCAGTTGTAACAATACAAATACAATACTCGACATTGTAAACTAAGGAAAAATTTACACAACAAAATATACAATTATTGAAGTTCGTCGTAATTCACAAAATTTTTAAGTTTGTATACTAAGTAAACTGTATTATACTTTCATCTGCACATTGAAAAACAGATCTCATATACAAAATATAAAATAAACGCTTTTTTCGCCTTGACCACAGACTATTACGAGTTTGACACTGATATTGGCAATATGAACTTAAACATTTAACGTTTTATTTCATTCAATTTATTTGTTTTATTAAATTCTATCTTTCTGCATTCCTTCTTTCAAAATTGAACTATTCCAAATCTCACACTACTCCGTGCGCGCAATATGTTTAAAAAGTGGTATAAAATTTTCCCTTCACATATTAATTCTACATAAATCATTACACCTGTCAGGTAACACGCGTGTTAATAAAAGAAAATTAAAGAGGCATTGACCCGCCCTGACCTCACAGAGCAATACAATCAACTGCAAAGAGCCCTAATGATTTGCACTTCTAAATTTATTAGAGTTTCTCTTTACATATTGATTGCTCTTCAGTAAGCACTCCGTATCAGTAGTTAGTACCAGTTCTGGCTCACTGAGTAAGAAGTGGTACAACGTTCGTCGACTCACGATCCTAAAAAAAAGGTTTTGGCATGCTCTGATCACGAATCTGCGGTCCGTTTTTGCGTAGGATGCACGGTTCCGGAGATGTGCAGATCAATTAACTCTTATCTAATTGATATCCGGTGAGGGCCTCCACCGTCATTAGCACACCATTGTTCTTATCTATTTATCTATTGTTCATTGAATACCGTCATTGTCTATTCGTGCGTCGGATTATCAGTGCTATTATATTATACTCCTTTGTTCCTAACTGCAACGGTAATCTGAATCATCAATAAAATACATTACCTAATTTTGTTACAATTTTTATTTACGAAATACAAAATCTTATTACTTATTATCTATAAAATAGGAGCGAAACATCTCATCCACTAAAATATCGTTGTACAATGTATTCCCTGTAAATATACTCGTAAAACTATGCATTGAACATCCCTGAAATACATTAAGCAATATCACAAAACAACATCCCTGAAACTTATATAGCCAATACAATAAGCAATATTCGCCACACACTGAAGTCTACTCATTCTGAATCCTATCAACATTCCAGTTCCATTTTTCACAATTCCTTTTTAAAAACTCTAGATGATATCGTACAGGTGCACGTCCGTATGAATCAAAATATTGTTACGAGCTTGAGGTTCGTGACAATAAAAATTGCCGATAGAATTACCTAAATTAACACTTTAAATTTCTTTACACCAATTAAAACTTAAAACACTAATAATTAATCACACTGATTCACTTTATTCCGCTCCGAAGCTTCGCTTGTCTCGCCAACTTCAATACTTCCCCGATCGCATCTTGCAGCGCCTATTTATATAAATTAGCACGGAAATATCCAGAATATTCAAGTAAACACGCGCAAGGTACCGAGAGTTCGAGTTTCAACTAGGCGCTAGTGCCGTCAACTAAGGCGCGTAACAATATTGACCGACGTCATTCGTATCGATATATAAAGCTACCCAATGTGACCCTGGTTTATCATCTGTATCCAAATTGCATATTATATACGTTGGCACGTGGGTGTACATAGGCAGTATATTGGTAGCGTAAACAT